CGAAAAATATAACAGACTAAACTGAGAAAAAAAATACTGACTACCGACAGGGAAAAACTTAACCGACTGCTGACATGGTCCAACATTGTACAGATACTAATTGTATTCAGAAATAAGTCATATTTTTTTATTTGTCTTTTATTTCCCCTTTTTTTTCAAAAGTATTTTGCTTGATTTGTTTTCAGCACATGGAGGATCTTTTAGTTACCGGTAGAGCTATTTCGAGACCAGAGGCGACATTAAATTCCAGATTTGGTACTTGTAAATTCCCTGTCGTTAAATTACTTGAGTCAAGTTGTTGTAAATCCAAGTCTTGAAGGTTCAATTTCCCTCTCTTTCCCAGCATGCATAGAAGAATGCCTGTTTTGTACCTGCACCTCCTTTAAAACTTATTTTAGATCCATCACATGGTGTGCCTTTGTTTCTCCCCCTTTTCTGGGGAAATCCAGGAAAAAGAGCACTCATTTCCTGCACAGCACGTAATAATCGAGCCTACTAGATGTCCTGCTGCAGTAATTTCACTGCCTACTTTTTATCCATGCTCAAGTCATAAGTGAAGTTATAAGAGTGATTGTAAATTTCTTTTGAAAAGGTTAAGAGGTTGCGATCGAGCGCCACTGCATTCCAGTTGACAGAAAATTATGGAGAATGCTTTGAGAATACTGAAAGGACTACATCTGATGAAATTGGGAAGTTCCCTTGGAAACTATTTTGCTTATCTGAGTGGCAAACTCGCCTCTGCGGTTTAAGGCGAGAACCAGTCTATAGCAACAGAAGGGTACTGGCGACTGGAAGTTCCAAATTTGATTTCCGTCTTAGGCAGCAGTGAGTTCAAAACATTCCACAGCTAAGGCACGAGCCATAAATCAGTATTCGAAAACGACCCGGGAAACAGACTGCAGTGACTAAAAATAATTTTACTGAAATTCGACCCATATTCTCACTAGGCCACTTATTCTCTCATTACTTCGCTGGTCTTTGAACTGGAAAAAACTGACTCAAGACAGATTAAAAGGGCACAGCCTCATCAGCGAGGGTGCTGAGTCAGCAGATGAAGAGTGTACGAAGTGAAAAGGTCTAATTCATAAATCTTGCTCGGTCATGCAGCAACTCATTGACCTCTGCTTACATCATGTGCATCACATGTAGCGGACACTTTCGTCCTCGCATTGGTCTCCTTAGCCACCTCCGAACTCACAAAATGTAATTAACTGCCTCATGGAAGAAAACAAATTAAGTATAGAAAGATTGGTGTTTTTATCATTCCAAAACAAAGGTGAAATAAACGATCGCATAGCTTAAACAAACCAGAATTTATTGAGGTTCCATTGCACTCAAATGATAAATTGATGATGAATGAAGAAGTTTTTTACTTACTGCATATAACTTGTTTTGTTAATTATCAACCGAGATTTACCGACAACCCACAAATATCCAAAATTTTAACCGACAACTGACAAAGTAATGAAATCTTTACCGACAACTGACATGTGGACCTGCCCATTCAGACCCTTAATGTTTCATCCGATATCCAGACACCTTGAAGTTGGTGTTAAAAACACTCGGCTGGGTGTCGTTTTTCAATCCACTTCTCTGTGTCTAAAATGATGTCGGATGAAACACTGCATGTTGTTTTTAATATATTACTGCAAATATATTCAGGGTTGTCACTAAGATTTCGAGTTGCCGGGTATTTGTTGTTAGTAGCCGGGGAAGTCGCAAGCAGTGATGGAGACCCCCCGCAAGAAGTTTTTGAAGTGCAACTTCTACCGTTTTCCAAAAGGCATTCCCGCCCCCAAAAAGCAATCTTCATCAAGAGTACAGCTATCATTAGCGGTTTTATGATGATCACATCTTTATTAAAGAAAACTACAACATTCTGAGACACTAAAATAATAAGTTTTCACTTTACGTAAAGGCTCACGGCTCGTTAAAGGGTTTTTTTAGTGGCCGCCAAATGGGAATGTACATGTTAGCACCGGATCTGAAAAAATGACAGGTTGGCACCGGTCACGTTATTTGCGCAGTCTCATCTTCACGCAGAAAAGGCGCATGCTGGCCAGTGAAGTTTTAATTCACAACGATACTTAACAAATGTTAAAAAATTATTGTGGAAAGGACAATCGATTCTTATATGGTGCAAATGAATTAAAATGCGCGGTAAAATCAATTGTAAATCCTCATTTTGTTATACGTAAGAACGAAACAACTTACGGAAAGCTAAAGTAAAACTAATATTACAAATGAATTAACCCACGGAAAAGCGGAAAGACGACAAGGGGACGATGAATGTACGAAAAAGCGTCATAAACACAAGGTTACTATGGTTTGTTGAAAAATAAAAGTATGATGAGGCTAAAACAAGCGTAACGTACGAAAAATCGCGGGATAAAATATGGCAAAACTAAACTGCACTACTGATAACATTAGTGGTCTCGATTTAGGAACGAAACATCCCTTAACATAAGTAGAAACTGACCTATGGAAAAGCGTTTAAAAGACAGGGCTAATACTTTATAAACGACGCTGAGATGTCAAAACGAGACTCAAGGAGAAGAATGCGAAAGTAATGCTAATGCTTAACTTCCCTTTTATATATAACTTCTTGGAAGTAGAACTGAGATGATGTGATCATGACCTGCGGACAATGATCGAACATTTCCCGTTGACCGTGCGTTATTTTATATACTCGATACCTAAAGCTAAAGGTAGACCTGGTCACTTAAACGTCAACTTGTTAAACATAGCAATCGGTCATAGTCTTCATCTTCAAAGCCTTCATCATAATCCTGATTATCATCAACATCAGCATGAGGGAGATTTAACTGTCGGATGAAGCCACAACGTCTTCTGTAATGTCAACAGAGATCTGCTCAGGTCTTTCATCGTTCACAAAGAGTGCAGATTCCTTTGCCACTTCTTCGACATGTTCAACACAAAACCGACACAACGGTTGAAACTAGGGACTTTTAGCATCGACAAAGGTGACGGCAGCGAAAACGTCACTTTTAAAATGAATTGGTGTTTTTTCCAACTTTGTCGCGTTTATTTCAGTTCGCTGAAAATAGCTAACGTAGGCCAATTTCCCTGGAGTTGATTTCTTTGGGACCGCACTCAAGTTTAGAAAGAGAAAGAAAGGTTTGTCGTCGCTTGTTTACGTCCTCCATAAAACGTGAAACTAGGCATTTTCACGTCGTAGTCGTGCAGTAACGGCAAAGAATGTACAAAAAAGCGTGATGCACGTGCGAACTAATTGTTTTGCTCAATAAACCTATTGCTTTTTGACGTTCTCGTTGCCGTCGCCGTCATCGTTGCTAAAACTCCCTACTGATCATTTCGCGAACGGAGAGTTTTTGCGCGTGATTGTACTAGTACCAAATCTAAGTCAGATGTCTTTTTCCGACATTTCTTAGTTTTTGCACGCGAGTATTTCAAAATTACTTAAACCTGCTGCAGATGAAACTTGCATTTAGTTTGATGGATAGTCTTAGTGTGTTTAAAAAGTGTGCTCTTTTGGTTTAATTTAACGACGAAAGTAGCCGGGGCCCATGCTCTGAGTAGCCGGGGGAAATCCCCGGCCCCCAGCCCTTTGTGACAACCCTGATATTATGGTTTTATAATTTTTACATAGGGTATTATATGTTAATCCCATGCCATCTTGACCCCTCTCAAATTTTCCTTGTTAAAGCCCTGGCCCTTTCTGAGATGTCAGTAAAGCAATTGAGAATAATAAGTAATTATTTGAGACAATTAACTTTCTCTTAATGTATTCTATATGTTTGTAAATTACCTTATTATATGCTGTACGTTATTTATATAAGTATATGTAATAGCTATAATAATAATGAAATCTAATGTAAAGAGGAAGTCTTACCTGTAGGCCTTCATGGCCTTCCTTGCCTTTTGTGATTCTTTTTACTTTCAAAATGTGTTTCGTTTGTGCAATTTATTGTCTTTTCCCTTCACTTATATGTAAAAAAGGCATTAAAAAAGCAATAAACCAAAAAAAAGACTAACCTTCCCCTCCAAACATTCAGGGTGTGCCAAAACCTATGTCCAATTGTCTGGGACAGGTAGAAATGTAGTTCAGGCATTTAAACCTTTGTCATGACTTGTCCATGGGACAAGCACATTTTTAACTAGAAAAAACACAGAAACAGTTAAGAATTGACTTCACATTGCAGTAGAATTTGTGTTCCTGCCAATAAGATTTGCTATGCAAAAGTTGCCTGTTTTCAGGAAATTTGGGCAGCTGCAATTATTGACTATGTGCTATTATGCACTAATTCCATTGTCTTCTGTTGTTTACTTGTAGCTATTTCACACTTGTAGTTATTATTTGTTTCATGGGCCAAGTAAAATAACTCTAGTACCTCTTTACTCTATCTTAATGCTTTAAGAAAGTTGAATAATATTGTGTTTATTTTTTGTTGAAAGGGTGTAAAGGAAACTGCAGTCCATGTTTTTAAAGAGTAAACACTGTGGTGTTTCGTAAAGCAGTAGACATAAGGAGACCTATAAGTTGTTGTCATTTGACCGGGTGTAGAGACCATATTGAGTCACAACTTCCAACAGGGAATTAGATGTGCATACAAATAACACCACGGACAATACATTTCCTTGCGACACATATTGTTTAGCCATTGACAAAAAAAACACGGCTCAGTCACGTTTAAATAATGTATTTTAAACATGGTTAAACTGTTGTTTATTGAGACACCTAGACCATGGCTAGGCCTTAAACACATGTTAACTTTGACTTCGTTTAAGTAATCTCCCCATTATGTAAGGATTGTCGATAAGTCAGGGCAGTGTCTCTTTAAACTAGCTGGATCAGAAAGGCATAACCCATTATGAGTTTCTGGTTGGATTTAATTGAATAAAAAGGTTAAATAATGTCTTTTTTATGTTGAAAGGGTGCAAAGTAAGCTGCAGTTCATGTCTTTTAAGTGTACACATTGTGGCAAGTGTTTTAGCCGAGCAGGACACCTAAGGGTTACGTTCATGAGAGATTTCACACTGGGGAAAAACCTTATGAATGTAAACAGTGTGGCAAGTGTTTTAGCCAAGCAGGAGACCTAAGGATTCATGAGAGATTTCACACTGGGGAAAAGCCTTATGAATGTAAACAGTGTGGCAAGTGTTTTAGCCAAGCAAGAGACCTAAGGAGACATGAAAGAGTTCACACTGGGGAAAAGCCTTATGAATGTAAACAGTGTGGCAAGTGTTTTAGTGAAGCAGGAAGCCTAAGGAAACATGAAAGAGTTCACACTGGGGAAAAGCGGAATGACTGTAAACAATGTGGCAAGTGTTTTAGCCTCATAGGAAACCTAAGGATTCATGAAAGAGTTCACACTGGGGAAAAGCCTTTTAAATGTAAACAGTGTGGCAAGTGTTTTAGCCGAGCAGGACACCTAAGGATTCATGAGAGATTTCACACTGGGGAAAAGCCTTATGAATGTAAACAGTGTGAAAAGTGTTTTAGCCAAGCAAGAGACCTAAGGAGACATGAAAGAGTTCACACTGGGGAAAAGCCGTATGAATGTAAACAGTGTGGCAAGTGTTTTCGTGAAGCAGGAAGCCTAAGGAAACATGAAAGAATTCACACTGGGGAAAAGCCGTATGACTGTAAACAGTGTGGCAAGTGTTTTATCCAAGCAGAACACCTTAGGAGACATGAAAGACTTCACACTGGGGAAAAGCCTTATGAATGTAAACAGTGTGGCAAGTGTTTTAGCCAAGCAAGAGACCTAAGGATTCATGAAAGAGTTCACACTGGGGAAAAGCCTTATGACTGTTATCAGTGTGGCAAGTGTTTTAGGAAATCAGGAGACCTAAGGAGACATAAAAGAGTTCACACTGGGGAAAAGCCATATGAATGTAAACAGTGTGGCAAGTGTTTTATCCAAGCAGAACGCCTTAGGAGACATGAAAGAGTTCATACTGGGGAAAAGCCTTATGAATGTAAACAGTGTGGCAAGTCTTTTAGCCGAACAGAAAACTTAAAGAGTCATGAAAGGGTTCACACTGGGGAAAAGCCTTATAAATGTAAACAGTGTGGCAAGTGTTTCACTCATCTAAGAGTTTTTAAGAGGCATGAAGAAGTCCACATTAGAAAAATGTTGCATAAATGTGACAGTAGCAAAGGTCCATTTAAACGTGTGCTTCGTAATCATAAGAGAGCAGGAAGTAATATAAGGGCAGGATTGACCAACAACACACTTCCACAGAGAGAGACTAGAAACAGTAGTATAAAAGACCAGCAACTGGACATTACTGAGAAACACAGCTGTTGGATTTGTCAAGAGGAGATGAGAAGTGAATCTCTTCTTCTTCAACATTATGAAAACCATATGACACATGTAGCTGAAGATGGTTCGGAAAGTTGACGAACGCTTCGGTCTTTGGGAATTGTTAATTAGTTTCGTTTCCGTTTTTAAGGGTTTGCTTTTTCAACTGTGAATATTATCTCCGATGTCGTTTTGTTACCTTTGATTTATCGGCGTGTAGCTGAAGATGGCTTGTAAAGACTTCGGTCTTAATCTTTTGTTAAGTCTTGTTTCTGTTTTTTTTTTTAGGTTTTGTCTTTTAACTGTAAGATGCAGTAAGGATGACTTTGTTTGTGTCTAGATCAATCGTTCCAGGGAAGATTAATCTGTTTTGTTTAAAAATTCAACTTTTTTTTTCTGTCGGGTGGGTTTGTAAATAGATATTGATAAGTAGACATTGCGTTTTCTGATAATGGACAGAGCAGTTCTTTGTTAATCGTTTTCTTTTATATAAAGAAAATCAAGGAATTTAATGCTGAAGGTCCCTTTTCTACAGATGTTCCCGCTGTGCATTTTAATAGTTCTACCAATAATAAATAAATAGCGTCTTCTTCCCTCTGCCTAGCCTCTGTGCAACAAAAAGAAGCCTCTGAAACAAAAGTGACCTACAAATTCTCCAGACTGTTCTATATATGTTGTGGTTCAATTTTATCCGTGGTTGAAATTTTCTTTTCTTTTGTTTTTGGGTATGGTAATGTATGATAATAACATGATAATGAGTTTGAAACAAAAGGAAAGAAAATTTGAACCAAGGATAAAATTGAACCACAACATATACATTTTCTTCGATAACTAGTTGGAAGAATTTGATAAAAGATCAATGCATTTTCCCTTTAATGATAATTTAACCAGTTCTCATAAGCTTTTCCCTTGATTATGTACTAATTTTGTTTGGAGAAGATTTATGTTGCTAACTCTTGTGACTTAAAGGTTTATATTAATTTAAACCCAATGGTTTATTTGTATTATATCCCATTTCCCTGGTCCCTCAAATTTACAATGTAACACCCTCAGGTCGTTCAGTGAAAAAAGAATCGTGAACGTCAGGCGAAGTTTCGAGTTATTTTTTCGGTGGCTTTCGTTTAGACCAAAATTTACAACCTTTACTTTACATCCTTCAAGTTTGTCTAAATTTAACGCGCCAAAACGGAAATAAGGGATCCATTTTTTTTTTAATTAACCCAGTCGCTTAGAAGGGTGACCTCTCTTTAATAATAGAGAAAAAAACTGCGTTGCCCAAAGTTTGGGGTGGGGGCTGGGGTGCCGTCCCCCGGACCGTACGCCTATGTGCTCATATTAAAGCGAAGTTATCCTTCTAAGTGAATTTGTTCATTTAAAAAAAAAAAAGACACAGTTCAGTAAGAAATTTTCGTTTCTAGACAAGGTCTTATTGAGGTATATCTATTCCCGACTTTAAAACGGCCTCAAAAGACCAAAATATGGGATTAAAAATTTTGATCCTGATCCCAAAATTGTTGCCAACCTTGATCCCCGATTAACTGCGTATACTTGACAAAAACTGGATGAAATGCTAAATAAAGTGTCTCATTTCGATTAATTTTATTTTAGTCACACTAGGGCCATCTATACGAGGAAAAAATAGGACGATCCCGTACCTATTTGAACGATTCTTTTTGATTAGCTGGGAAAACAATAGGGATTGTCACATAACAATGCCCCTATCCCTGAAAACAATGGAAGTGCAGATAAAAGGGGACCACTGAAATAAGAGGTTTCGGGTCTACTGGAAAAATAAGACTATCCCGTATAAACGACACATTAAGACGCGACTTAGCAAAGACGCGTCTTATCGAGGAACAGGTGTTAGGGGCTGTTCTTAGATAAGACGCGTCTTAGCTAAATTTCAAGCGAAATGTGCCGTTTATACGAGATAGTTTGAGTCTTATTTAGGACGTGTCCTATGTAAGACGCGTCTTATTTTCGTCGTTTAAACGGCCCTATAAGTTACTGACTGGAGAATTAAGTTTGGCTCCCGTCTTTATTTTCGAGTTATTATTTCTATCATAATGCGTTCCACTTTAGAGCTCTTATAATAATAATATATCGTTTTGTGCTCTGTTCGTGTCATTTAAGCCTTCCTTTTAAAATTTGATCAATTTCATGTAACAACGGCAACTTAACAGCAACGACACAAGCAAAACGAATTTTGATGCAGTATATAACTCTAGGATAAAAAGCGTTTGCTCTAGCTAGCTTTGTTTCAGTCGCCGCCTAGCTAAGTTTAGGAGTGCCTCTAGTCATACATCA